TGGTCCGGAGGGGCCTGGGGCCCGATGTCGAAAAATTGAACCTGGCTCTGCTAAAGGCGCCACATGGTGGAGTCAGAATGAGCACATCAAAACTTCCTGACTCAACCCGCAGAAAAATGCTTTCCCACAGCGACGGGCTGCTAAGATCAAATTCTGCCCCACGCAGAATATCAAATTCCTGCATTTCCAAACACCAACCTGTCTCTGTACATAGCTTCTGTAGGCAGTGCCGCACATCGCCTTCCCTGGCAACTCCTGAGAAGAGATACAGCACGCGTAACGTCGGCCGAGCCTGTCAGTTAGCGTCTTTCTTGTTGGAGGTGTCTCCGAGCGAAAGCTTTTGGAAGTGCTCCCACACGGCATGGGCCGCTCCGCATCCTCGAACACGGCAAATACGCACGCGGCCGCAGCTACCGTCACAACCTTGTGCATTGAAGGCGAAGCACACCTCCCTGCCGTCTGGAGTCCTATCAATGAGGCTGTTTGCACTTCGTCCACCTGCGTTCGGCTTGCCCTTGTTGCCGCCCTTCTTGCCAGTCCCCCTTGTACTCATTGAAGCCCTTGAACCCTTTGTAATTGCTCTCGCCTTCTTTGCCCTTGCAACTTGTTAAACGGCACATCCGACGGCCAGCCATTGCCCTTGCCGAAGCCATTCCCAGACCATGCCCGTTTCAAGAAGCCTGGCTCGAGAGCTTGGGGTTGCAGTGCAATGGGTGAGGTGAAGAAACGTTCCTTCAGCTCCGGATCTTTGCAAACATCCTGCAACGTCTGGGCGATTGGCTTGTTCTCCTTGAGAGCCCTCTTAATTGCTTCCTTGCGCAACTCAAACTCGAAACTGAGCAAGATATGCCATGGCGGACGCAGCGGTGACGCATCGGCTCCTTTGCCTCCGTGGATCTTCATGAGATAACAGCGCTCCCCAAGAAGGAAGTTCGTGTACTCCTCCCAGCATGATGGGCGCATGTTTCGCAAAATTTCCCTGTTTCGGAACTTGGCAGACAGGAAGCACCAGGTGTTGCCTTCGACCTTCAAGATTGTGCGGAGCTCTTCCGCGCCCTGTGGCAAGGAGCCTTTCTGCTTGGAGCGAACGATACGAACTGCGCCACTGTGGTCAACTGTAGTTTGAATGCCCATGGTCTTGGCCGTCTTGGCACTACGTTTGGAGGTCACTTCCGAAAGTGGCGATGCACAGGGCTCCCGCGACTCTATCTCTTCCAATTTTGAAGCGAGATATTCATCGCTTGGCTCAAGGCTGTCTTCCAAGACCCCGAAGGAAGACTCATATGAGGTCTTCATGGCAGACCTATCAGTCTGGGCCACCGGACGTGGTATGCCCAGCTCGCGGGCCGCTGCTTTCAACTCTGCTTCCTTCTCGGCGAAGCGCTGGCATGCCTCCCAAGTGCCGACTACTGCCGCCAATGCTGAGCGTGCGGCCAAATTTGCGGCACCATCCAAAGAGAAATCAGTCTTCATAGCTTCTCGCACTTTGGAGCGATCATCCTCATAGGAGGCGAACGCGCGCACAGTCTTGAACTGCTGACAAATCTTGCACTGCAACCCAATTGGCACACCTGACTCTTGGAAAAGATGCGCTAGGTTGGCATCGACCTTCGAAGACAAGTACTGAACTGCAGCATCTTCAGTGACGTTTCCTGGGAGGTCGGTCGCGGACATTGTGAGCTACCTGAGAAACCGAAAACAAAACTGGAGCCAACTGGCTTCGCTCAAATGAATGTCTCGGTACTCGACAGTATTCTTGCTCGCCCCTATGACTCGGGCACACTGATCAATCTCAAACTCAAGAGAGTTCCCCACTCTGACTCGGGACTCTTGTCTCATGTAATGACATGGTTCAAGCATTCAGACGCACCACCAAAGGCACAAGCCTGCGCCACAAAACAGGCCCAGAACCCTTTCAAATTTAGGGACAGAAACATCTCCACTCTGACTCGGAAATGCAATATCTGGCACCATGTGCTCGACTGCAAACTGAATGTGCTTGCCTGACTCACGTGATGCGAAGGAATGCAGAAGTACTGACAGAAACTACCACGCTCCAGCTTTCCCTTCCACTTAGCTGTCAAGCTCGCCTGCTGACTCGGACGCAGAGGCACTCTGACTGGAGTCCGCTCTAGAAGCATCCAGCTTAGGTTTACACAGCTTGCACACGGCATCGGCACAATCGGCCGTCACTACCTGGATGGGCCTCCACTCCAAACAACGCTCTTGCCTGACTGCACAAGCATGGCTCACATGAAGACGTCTAAAGCCACTCCTGCTGACTGTCACAAAGAACGGAGCGTCTGCCGTTACGGTGTCAGGCTCCACCTGAAGTGTGGACGCCTCAGCTGTTGCCCTGGAATGAGACTGAGGTTCCACGGTGATCCCCCCAAATTTCCCTTTCAGGGACCAAGCACCTAGCGAACTGTCCCAGAACAGCACGGAATGCAAAGCAGCGACCTGGCTGCCATTGCCGCCCTGGGCTGACACGAACTGATTGATCTGCTGAAGCAGCTCTTCCTCAATCAACCCAGGTGCAGGGCTACCTTCCAGAACTGCAGTACAAATTTGCGCTTGA